ATGTATGTATGTATGGTATTCAGCTGAATACCATACATACATACATACATATACATACATACATACATACATACATACACACATATATATCAAAAAATTATGTTTAATTATGTTTTTAGATATATATTTTTTCTGATGGCAGATGAGATTCTGCCGAAACGTTGCTACAACTTTAAAAGCACAACTACAATGACGTGGGAAAATACCCGAACAAAGCTGAATGCCATACATGTAAGTACCCGCGAAAACTTAAGAAAACACACACACACACACACACACATATATATGTGTGTGTTTTTTCTGTACAGAAGCCTGATGATGGCAGATGAGATTCTGCTGAAACGTCGCTACAACTTTAAAAGCACAACTACTATGACGTGGGAAAATACCCGAGCAAAGCCGAATGCCATACATGTAAGTACCCGCGAAAACTTAAGAATATATATATGTGTGTGTGTGTGTGTGTGTTTTCTTAAGTTTTCGAGGGTACTTACATGTATGGCATTCAGCTTTGTTCGGGTATTTTCCCACATCATTGTAGTTGTGCTTTTAAAGTTGTAGCAACATTTCGGCAGAATCTCATCTGCCATCATCAGGCTTCTGTATTGGGTTCATCTGTGTGTCAGGCTTTCACAGTTGTTTCTGTTTTAAATTTGGTGCTAGCCTACTGCTGTGTCAGAATGATTTTTTCTTCATCCTGATTGGTTGGGAGTCTTGGTCTGTGTTTATTGGTCTTGGAGTTTGCTGTGTTCTGCTTGATTGGTGTTTCTAATATCTTCTGTCTGTTTTGTAGCATTTTTTTTGTCTTGATTTGCTGGCAACATTGTGTTTCCTGTATTGGAGGCTTTTAGTGCGGCTTGGCTTCGGGTAAATTGACGGCTATCATTTATTAGGAAGCTAGGTTTCATCTGCGTGCCTGCTTGGGGTGTGTTTGAGCTGGAGATATCAGGGGGGTTCTGTTTGTGCCCAGGTGTTTGCTTGGCTTGTGGTGTGGATATTTTTTTGTTTGTGAGTGTAGGCTTCCAGATAATTGACAGTCTGATGGAGTCATCTCTTCTATTCATGCTTTCAATATCAGGACAGCCTTCGGCATTGGCCAAAAAATAGCCAACATCCTAAGAAACCCCAAAGACAAGATCCAGCTAGAAAACCAAGGAGTTTATGAAATACCATGCAACAATTGCCCAGCCACATACATTGGACAAACCAATAGGAGAATAAATGCACGCATCACAGAACACAAGAGCGGAAGAAAATACTTCAGAAAAGAAGAAAATACTTCCTCCCTTTTCCAGCACCTTAAAGCCACAGGACATGAAATTAATTTTGAGGGAACCAAATTAATCTCCAATACTGAACACTTCAACAAGAGAATAATCAGGGAAGCCATCAAAATAGAGAAACACCCCCATAACATGAATAAACGGGACAATACCTCTCGCCTACCCGACATTTGGAAACTAGCCCTTATCAACAAATGAGTCCCAGCCACGAAAACCAACACCAGACCCAAAACAACACATGACGCCACCACCTATCTCTCTCACCAGACTCAGACTCAAACCCAAACCCACCCCACCGACGAAAGACAACCACCATCCAGAAACCAGACCATGGCTGCATCACCAGCTGCCACACACTCCAACCCCCAAACCAAGCAAACGGACACATGCCATGGACACATATCCAGGCCTCAAACTCGGAGCCAAACGAAAACCCAGAACCTCACATCACAGCCACTCCTCATCACGGAACTCAGGAGGCTACACCACAAAACCTCAGGATGTTACAACACAGCCAACGACCCAGGAGATTACAGCACAAGACCCAGGATGTCACAACAATAGAACTCAGAAGTTCATCACACAGCCCATTACCCAGGTCGTTACAACATAGGAGGCTGATAGACACACAGCCAATACCTCAGCCACACATGTTCTTATGAAAAAGCCAGCCAATCTGCAAACATCAACTCCATCAACCAATCAAGAAATGACAACACAGCCAACCTCCCCACAAGATAACCTCAATCTTATATGGGAAAAGACCCGAACAGGCCAAGACCTGCACGTATACATACATACATACATACATACATTGTATTTTGTTGCTTGTTGTTTGGTACTGACGAAAGATTGATCACTCAGAAAAAACAGGTTACTGAATGTGAAAGGATATAGAGTTTGAGATTTGAGTGGCACGCCTATCTATGATATGACAAATCTAAGGTTAATAAAGATTTTCATGCTGTACTGAATGTTTGGAATAAACAGATTGACTTCCAAAATTTCGCTGACTGTCACCCAATAAACTTTTCAGAGGAAAAATGGAATTTACACAAATTTGGTTAACTTAAGCAGATTTATTGACTTTTTGAAGGAGACTTTAAATAAAAAACCAGGGAACAATTGGAACAGGAGGATATTAATTTTTAATTATTTATGTTCAACAGTTAGATACAATTCTGATAAGAATTTTGGTTTTACAAATGAGAAAACTTAATTTGAACTGGATTAGTTTACTATCGATGAGCATCTTGTTGCCAAGATGTATAGTTATTGAATATATAAGATCAATGTTAAAGATTTTATGACTAAATGGGTATTTTTTTTGATAAAATATAATGCTGTCAGTGGGAGATTATATGGAAGAAACTGAAATTCACTTTGAGTTATAATTTAAAGAGAATTTTTTACAAGATGATGTATGTTGATATGTGACACCTGATACATTATCATGAAGTATAATTGGTATGTTAAACATATGTTGGAAATGTAAATTATCTGAAGGCACTTTTTCATCACCTTTGGTGGCTATATAAGAAGGCTAATAGTTATTGGGTTCTTTAATTCAGAGAATTCTTAGAGTAAATGTATCACTGAACTAGAGCTTTTTCTTTTAGGTTTAATGGGTAAACAGATGGAAAAAAATGGGACTTTGTTTTTTTATATATGATATCTCAACCATGCTAGACATTCAGATCATTATTATTAATAATTTATTATAAATAAATTAGGGTAGTTTTCTTGTGAGTAGGTATCTGCAGAATTGGATTGGATTACAAAGCTGGCGCTTCACTAAAATTTAAACCTTTCTGTGGTTTCAGAGAATGAGTTAATCTCTTAATACTGTTATCAGTGACTTGCATGGGTGTCATTCTCTACCTCCTGCTAGTTTTCATTTTAATCAAGAATGACACCAGTCATTA